ACTCCAGTAAGCTCCATGAATTGAGCCCATCATTTGTGGCAAGAAATGTCTGAGGAAAGAAGTGAATTTAATCCCACACCTTCACTTGTGAAACCAGCCATAATTAGCATTGTGTGTGAATAATATGAGGTCACCTGCCTTTACTGAGTTGCACAGTCCTTTAGGGAAACAGTCTCAGCTTAGTACCTCTCCACAGTGGAACAGCTGAGGTCAATAATAAACTACGTGTATACATGTAGGAAGTGAATTTGCATTTCTTAACTGTGTGACACAAGTGTTCAAATGTAACCTTCTTGTCCCTTGTTGACTGATGATGCATTAATGATTTGGATGCAACAACAAATAACTCAATTCCAGAGTTTGCAGATGATACCAAAACTGCAAGACAGGAAGACATTAGAAAGCTACCAAAATGCCAACTGAGTAGCTAATAAACTTTGCAGAGTCTCAGAATAACAGAATTGTTATAGTGCCAATGGAGGCCATTTGGCCATCATCCCTGCACTGGCTCTTCAAATGAGCATCACTACCTAGTGCCAAACTCCTGCCTTCTCCCCATACTCTTGCATGCTATTTCTATCCAAATAATCATCCCATGCCCTCTTAGATGGTTCAATTGAATTTGCTTTCACCAAACTTCCAGGCAGTGCGTTCCGTACTCACTGTGTGGGTGAGTTTTTCTTACATCACCCTTACTTCCTTTGTGCATCACCGTCTCATTTGTGTTCATTCTCTGAGTGAGAACAGCTTCTCCCATGGACCTGTTTGTATGATAGCAGGGAACTTAGCTTTCAGGACATTACCACAATGCAGTAAAAAGACTGGCCCAACCCTCACAAGGAAGTGACAGTCTTTGGCTGAGCCCCAAAAGTTGACAGGTTTTCAAGATCATAGCCATTTGAAATATCCTGAAGCTTAGCAGTCTTCCAATTTCCATGCGTCTGCTGCTCGGGTTACAATTCATAAGAGCACTAGGACAGGTAACTACTCATGTCAGGGGTTACAAATCAGTAGTTCTTAACTATTCTTGTTAAAAATTGTGCACAGTTTACATTGTGAAGAATGCAGAGGCTCGTATTGCAGACCAGCCCTAAGGCACTGCTTGGACACGCTGTCTGCCTGCTAGATGATATTTCTGTTGGCATCGTAATTGTTGTTGTAGACTCTGTGTATGCCAGTTGCTTTCTGGCAGGAGCTATTGGTGAAGGGCATCCCTTGTTTCACCATGGCTAGTCTGTGATGTTGGCATGATGACTGGAATAAAGTTGGCATCGGGTCTAGTGTTGAATGAATGAATGATGTCTGTTGCCAGGGCATCAGGCACAGACTTTCATGTCGCATAGCCTGTTGTCACAAACAGTCTGGATGCTGAAGGGGTGGAATCCCTGTACAATCAGGAAGATGCTAAGATGGTAATGGAGAGCACGTGTATGTATTCGGAGATCTTGAATCAATGGGAAGCCTACAAGCTGGACAAAGCCTAGTGCTCTCTTCTCTTGTGTTAGTTTGCTTATTGGAAATCTGATGTTGGTGTATCTCCCCATAAAACAAGTCTCAGAAACCCCCCTTGTATAACAATGCACAGAAGATTGGAAGGATTCGACTACATAAAGTTTTAGGGGGCCACGGTAACTTTGGCAGCCAGAGACAGTGTCATGCCTGCTTCAGATTCCAGTTGTCACTGCAAAAACTGATGCCACACTTTAGCAATGTCTCCAAGCGATTCTCCTCAAGACCGTGAACCATAAGGTAAAGTTCTTTTAATGACCTGCCATCCCGTTTGGTCAAGGCAGCTGGGATCAAGGTGCCTCTGGAGGTCAGTTCCTACAGGAAACTGAAGAGATCCTGACTCCAGTGTCACAAGAATTGGAATGATTTCTGCACTTTGCTAGTGTCCTACCAGTGTTCACTCAATACTTTGTACACCTGTAAGCATCAGTCAGCATTGTAATGTTGCCACTGCTAAGGGCTGTCACACAAAAGATTAGGTGTCTGGCACCTTCATCAGGCAATCAATGTCTTTCATTATATTGCAGCTACCAGTATAGCGCTACTGGCATCACAGCGGCACTGCCTCTTCAATATCTGCTAGTGCTCAAACTTAAAACATAAAGGGAACTACAATACTCATCAGCTCATGTACCATCACTTACCTTTCATCACAACTAGGCAGGCTTGTACATCTGATAGCTATTCACCAGAAGCTTAAATGGGTCAATGGCACAATTGTAGAGACTGAATTTAGGATAAAAACTATAAAATGCTTTATTGGTTTACATCAACTGCAATTCTTTGATGAAACTGAACCACCTTTCGTTCAGAACATTTAGCTCCTAACTTGCCCCATGCCACGTTCTCCTTACAAACAATGTATACAGAAGCTCTAGTGATTGATATCACTATCTGTATCAATCATTATAAGCTTATTACACATCTACCCATGCTAAAGTCTCTTAATGCTTCTCTCCTGCAAAGGTTGAATGAGCACAATAAATACAAACATTCCCAGATGGGGTTGCAAAGGGAGGGGATTTGCCTGTCATAAGGCTCCTGACCTTATGCTTTGAGGAGCAGGACACTGAGCTGGCAGGTGGGCAAGGGGAATATGCCCATGCCAAAGGGAAAATTGCATTTCAACAGCTATCTGGTAAAAAGCCTCCAATCTGTTACTCCGCGCTGCACATCAAACACTAGCCTTAATGAAATCTTGCGTAAGTGTGGCAACAAGTACACTTAAAAATTAAAAAAACCAAAAGAACTGAGGATGCTGGAAATCAGAAACAAAAACAGAAATTGCTGGAAAAACTCAGTACATCCAACAGCATCTGTGGAGAGAAGTCAGAGTAGATATTTTGTGTCCAGTGACCCTTTTTCAGAATTGAAGAACGGAAGAGTTCTGAGGAAGGTCATTTACAAATTCATGTATTTTTCTACGTAATTTCTAATAGTCATTTAAATCACATCTCTGGCTGGAGAGGTGGTGCAGGGCAGAGGGCTTTAGATTCCTGGAACACTAGGACTGTCTGGTTGAGATGGAACCTGTACAAGCTGCACAGATTGCATGTGAATGGAGCCGGGGCTGAGTACCTTGTGAGGGTTGTCCTAGTGTTGTTGTGGAGGGTTTAAATTAACTCATCTGGAGTGTGGGAACGAGGACAGAATATTAGAATGTAATACTAGGGTAGACGAAATGGTGATAACATTGGTACATGAGAGGCAGATAGCACTAAATTAGAGAATAGGAAGAGGGAGAAAGTATTGAAAAAAATCAGGATTACACTGAATGTATATGAAAGCACAAAGTATGGTATATAATCATCATAGAATCATAGAATCCTAGAATCCCTACAGTGTGGAAACAGGCCCTTCGGCCCAACAAGTCCACACCGATCCTCAGAGCATCCCACCCAGACCCATCCCCCTATAACCCACCCAATCTACACATCCCTGAACACTATGGGCAATGTAGCATGGCCAATCCACCTAACCCACTCATCTTTGAACTGTGAGAGGAAACCGGAGCGCCTGGAGGAAACCCACACAGACACGGGGAGATCATGCAAACTCCGCACAGACAGTCGCCCGAGGGTGGAATCGAACCTGGGTTCCTGGCGCTGTGAGGCAGCAGTGCTAACCACTGAGTGGGAATTTCAGGCCTAGTGGGTTTATGTTGTCGTGGCAACAATGGACGCCAGGTTTAAGCAAGGGAAGATCTGGATGTTAAATATTCCTGGTTACAAGGTGTTCAGAAAATACATGAAAGGATAAAAAGCAGGAAGGGTGACGATCTTGGTTAAGGAAAGCATTGAAGTGCTGGACAAAGCGGATGATTCAAAAGGATCAAGGACAGAATCAATTTAGTTCAAACTAAGGAGAAAGAAGGGTGTAAATGCATTTCTCATTTTAATTTTCTACCACCAACTAGTGGGAAGAATATAGAGGAAGAAATTTGCAAGGCAATTGAAAATGAGCTGCCAGAAGACATTTGATATTAGTGCCACACAAGAGACTTGTGAAAAAAGCTGTAGGTTGTGAATTAAAAGGGACGGTAGCAACATGGATGCAAAATTGAGTAAGGGAGAGGTAAAAGAGAGTCATGGCTAATGGGTATTTATAGATCTTGATATTATGGGGATAATTTTAAGATTTGGAGATGATGTTGTGCCCTCAATCACCACTGTCACTATTGTTGGTGAATCTTAGGTGCTCATCGTCTCATGCTTAAATGAATTAGAAGGCATAGTTGGGATGTTAATGTTAGGAGTTGCTAAAGCTTATTCACCTGTGTTCTGTAGCAAATGCTTCTCTTCGTTCCTGAGTCCTTAACAGTGCGCTCACGCAATGGTATCTGTTTCAACTCCCTCAGTTTGGAGACTTTGCGCTGTGCAGGAACCTGTACGAACAGATGATTCCAGTCACTGCTTAAATGGGATAGGATAAAGGACAAGGAGCTGAAACTGGGCTGATCTAAGCAAAAGCTTTATGTGCTTTAGGCCAAATAGGTTTTTTGTGGTTCCCTTATTTTATAATGGCAGACTGTGGGTTGACTTTCATGAAGCTTCATGTGGTGAATTGCCAGAGTGATCATAAATATTGCAAAGACACCAAACAAAACGTTCTGTTCATGTTTATCTAAAGCAAATAAAATTCTGCAATGTAAACTGTAACATTTAGAATGTATTTTAAAGCCTGCATTTCGCAGGATTAATTAGATAATCCTGTTTTTTTAAACCACTGTCACAATATAATAACCTTTGATTTGTTCATTTATTCCTGTTTTCCTTTGGATATGTGGCTATATATTTTTCAAAATCATTATTTGTTCAGTCTGATCCATGTGGACTGAATCGAGAGGCAGATTGATTTTCTTTTGCATTTTCCATTGTGGTGATCCTCAAGCGATCCTTCTTTTTTGAAGAAGAGGCAGCTGACCTTTAAAGACCTTTCTGCGACCTGAGATTTTACTGCAGATTTCATCCAGATAATTGTTGTTTTCACAGGTTCTGGCTTCAGCTGAACACTGTATGGACTGATGAGTCAACTGCAATCATTGCACTGGATAATGTAACTCTCAGCCTTGACTGTTATCTATCAAGTGAGTATAATCATTGCACTCGTCTGTCACTTTCTTTTCTGTTTTATAACAGTATGGTGTCAGAATGTAACCTTTCTGAATAAGTAAAGTGGTGGCTTCAGCTTTTGACATGTTCCAGGGTTGTTTCTGTGCTTGGAGGCAGATTTCTCAAAGATTATTTATTATTCACATTTTACATGTGCTTTTGATATTAGTTAAACATACATAAGAATGCAAAGACAGAACCTGGATGTGGGGCAGTGAATTAGAACACCACTTTATCTCTGAGAATTGAATTTAATTAGTACAGTGGATTTGTAGTTTCTCTGTTCATGCCTTAAGAACATAGGGACAGGAGTATGCCATTCAGCCCTTCAAATCTGCTCTTACATTCATAAAATCCCTACAGTCTGGAAACAGGCCCTTTGGCCCAACAAGTCCACACCAACTCTTAGAGCATCCCACCCAGATCCATTCCCCTATAACCCACGTAATCTACACATCCCTGGACTTTATGGGGCAATTTAGCATTGCCAATCCACCTCGCCTGCGCATCTTTGGACTGTGGGAGGAAACTAGAGCATCCAAAGGAAACCCACGCAAACAATGTGCAAACTCCACACAGACCGTCACCCAAGGATGGAATCGAACCTGGGTCCCTGGCACTGTGAGGCAGCAATGCTAATCACTGAGCCACCGTGCCACCAAACAATTCAATCCTGGCTGACCATCTGCCTCAAAACAACTTTCTCACTCGAGCTCCATTTGATGTACAGAGGGATCTTGGGCGTCAAATCCATAGCTACTTGAAAGTGGACATGCAAGTAGATAGGGTGGTAAAGAAGGCATATGGGATGCTTGCATTTATTGATTGGGGAATTGAGTACAAGAGTTAGGATGTCTAAGAAGGGTCTAGGCCTGAAATGTCAGCCTTCCTGCTCCTATGATGGTGCTTGGCCTACTGTGTTCATCCAGCTCTACGCCTTGTTGTCTTAGGATGTCATGTTGTAGTTTTATAAGACTTTGTAGAGGCCACACTTAGAATATCGCATACAAATCTGGTCGCCACATTACAGGAAAGATGTGGAGGCTTTGGAGAGGGTATAGAAGTTTATCAGCATCCTGCCTCAATTAGAGGGCATGACCTATAAGGAGAGGTTAGAAAAACTCGGGCTGATTTCTCTGGAGCGGCAGAGGCTGAGGGGAGACTTGATAGAAATCTATAAAATTATGATATGCATAGATAGGGTTAACAGTCAAAATCTTTTTTCCCAGAGTTGAAATGTCTAAAACTAGGGGGCATGCATTTAAGGTGATGGGAGGAAGTTCAAAAGAGATGTAAGGGGAAGATTTTTTTACACAGAGTGGTAGGAGTCTGAAATGTGCTGCCAGGGGTGGTGGTGGAGGCATATATGTTAGGAGCATTTAAAGAGTTTTAAATAAGTACATAAATATGTAGGGAATGGAGGGACATGGACCAAAAGCAAACAAAAGGGATTAGTTTACTTTGGCATAATGTTCAGCACAACATCATGGCACGAAGGGCCCATTCCTGTGCTGTACTGTTCCTATGTTCTATGTTCTATCCCTTGATGTCATTAGTCTCCGAACTCTATCGATTTCTGACTTGAACATGCTCAATGATTAAGCTTTCACAGCCAGAATTCCCCACCCTCTGAGGGATGAATCTCAGTCTTATATGGCCCATCCCTTATCCTGAGATTATGTTCCCTGATTTTAGACTCACCATCCTGGGGGAGCATCTTATTTACATATGCCCTGTCATGCCTGTAAGAATTTGGTAAGTTTCAATGAGGTAACCTATCAGTTTTCAAAACTTTAGGAACTATGGAACCAGTCTCATCAATCTGTCCTCATAAAGCAATCCTGTCATCCCAGGGATTAATCTAGTGAAACTCCATTGTACTTTTGTACAATTAATAAGTGCCAACTTAGATAAGAGGACCAAATCTATATACAGGTGAGGTCCCACCAAGGCTCTCTACAACTGCAATGGGACATCTTTACTCCTGAACTTAAAGCCCCTTGGAATGACAGCCAATGCACCAATTACCTTCCAAATTGCTTGCTGCAACTGCATTTTAACATATAATGATTCATGAACAAGGATAACCAAATCCTTTGGACACCAGCATTTTCTATTCTTTCAGCATTTAAGAAATCTCTGCCTTTGTGTTTTTGCACTGAAATGAATAACTTCACATTTACTCATATCCCATTCCATCTGCCACATTCGCAATCGTTTATTTAGCCTGTCCAAGTCCTCTTGAAGCCTAGTTGCATTCTTCTCAGTGCTTAGGTTTGAATCCAGTTTTGTGTTATCAGCAAATTTGCAAATATTACAATTGGATCCCTGGATCCAAATTATCAATATAGTACTGATCCTTGTGGTACAAGTTACAACCTGCCATCCTGAAGATGAGCAATTTATTCATACTCTCCACTTTCTGTCTGTTAATCAGTTCTCAACCCATATGAGTTATTCTTCCCAATCCCTTGGGCTGTAATTTTATTTACTAGCCTCCTGTATACAACTTTATCAAAAGCCTTCAGAAAATTCATATGAACCAAATCCTCTGGTTGTCCTTCATTAATGCCTCAAATACTATCCTCAAAAAGCTTCAACAAGTTTGACAAGCATGATCTTCCTTTCATGTATCCATGTTGGCTGCCCAATTTTATTATTTCTTTCTAAATGTCCAGTTACCCCATCCTTTCTAATTTTGTCTATTACATATGTTGGACTAGTAGATCTGGAATTCTCCATTCTTCCTCATCCTTCTTTCTTCAACAATGGGGGTACATTTGCTACTTTCCTGTCCACAGGCACCTTTCCAAACTATATGGAATTTTGATATATTAATATCAATGCATCCATTAAATCAATAGCCCAGGGAATTAACAGCCCTCAATCCAGGTAACTTTCAAATCCACAAACCTGAATGCCCTGGTCGACCCATTGTCTCCGCCTGCTCCTGCCCCACCGAACTGATCTCCAACTATCTAGACTCCATTTTCTCCCCCTTGGCCCAGGAACTCCCTACCTATGTCCGTGACACCACCCACGCCCTCCACCTCCTCCAGAACTTCCAATTCCCCGGTCCCCAACACCTCATCTTTACCATGGACGTCCAGTCCCTCTACACCTGCATTCCCCATGCAGATGGCCTTAAGGCCCTCCGCTTCTTCCTGTCCCGCAGGCCCGACCAGTCCCCCTCCACTGATACCCTCATCCGCTTAGCCGAACTCGTCCTCACACTCAACAACTTCTCTTTCAATTCCTCCCACTTCCTACAGACAAAAGGGGTAGCCATGGGTACCCGCATGGGCCCAAGCTACGCCTGCCTCTTTGTAGGTTACGTGGAACAATCCCTCTTCCGTACCTACACCGGCCCTAAACTCCACCTCTTCCTCCATTACATTGATGACTGTATCGGCGCCGCCTCGTGCTCCCACGAGGAGCTCGAACAGTTCATACACTTCACTAACACCTTCCACCCCAACCTTAAGTTTACCTGGACCATCTCTAACACCTCTCTCCCCTTCCTGGACCTCTCTGTCTCCATATCGGGCAACCACCTAGAAACCGATATTCATTTCAAGCCCACCGACTCCCACAGCTACCGAGAATACTCCTCCTCCCACCCACCTTCCTGCAAAAATGCTATCCCCTATTCCCAATTCCTTCGCCTCCGCCGCATCTGCTCCCAGGATGAGGCATTCCACTCCCGTACATCTCAGTTGTCCTCGTTTTTCAAGGACCGTAACTTCCCCTCCTCGGTGGTCGAGAACGCCCTCAACCGTGTCTCCCACATCTCCCGCACCTCATCCCTCACACCCCGTCCATGCAATAAGAACCAAAAAAGAATCCCCCTCGTCCTCACGTACCACCCCACCAACCTCCGGATCCAACGCATCATCCTCCGACACTTCCGCCATCTGCAATCCGACCCCACCACCAAAGACATCTTTCCCTCCCCACCCTTATCTGCTTTCCGGAGGGACAACTCTCTCCGTGACTCCCTTGTCCGCTCCACACTCCCCTCCAGCTCCACCACACCCGACACTTTTCCCTGCAACTGCAGGAAGTGCTACACCTGCCCCCATACCTCCTCCCTCACCCCCATCCCAGGCCCCAAGAAGACTTTCCACATCAAGCAGATGTTCACCTGCACATCTGCCAATGTGGTATACTGCATCCGCTGTACCCGGTGTGGCTTCCTCTACATCGGGGAAACCAAGCGGAGACTCGGGGACCGCTTTGCAGAACACCTACGCTCGGTTCGCAACAAACAACTGCACCTCCCAGTCGCGAACCATTTCAACTCCCCCTCCCATTCCTCAGACGACATGTCCATCCTGGGCCTCCTGCAGTGCCACAACGATGCCACCCGAAGGTTGCAGGAACAGCAACTCATATTCCGCTTGGGAACCCTGCAGCCCAATGGTATCAATGTGGATTTCACAAGTTTCAAAATCTCCCCTCCCCCTACCGCATCCCAAAACCAGTCCAGCTCGTCCCTGCCTCCCTAACCTGTTCTTCCTCCCACCTATCCCCTCCTCCCACCTCAAGCCGCACCTCCATCTCCTACCGACCAACCTCATCCCGCCCCCTTGACCTGTCCGTCCTCCCTGGACTGACCTATCCCCTTCCTAACTCCCTACCTACACTCACCTTTCCTGGCTCCATCCCCGCCTCTTCGACCTGTTTGTTTCCTCTCCACCTATCCTCTCCTCTATCCCTCTTCTATCCGCCTCCCACTCTCTCCCTATTTATTTCAAAACCCCCTTCCCCTCCCCCTTTTCTGATGAAGGGTCTAGGCCCGACACGTCAGCCTCTCTGCTCCTATGATGCTGCTTGGCCTGCTGTGTTCATCCAGCCCTGCACCTTGTTGTCTCTAACTTTCAAGTACCATGTCTTTATTAACACTAATTCATTTTAGTTCTTCAATTTCTCAAATAAAAGTTGCCTAGTTTTGTAATCCACTCCACACCAGACT